CTCAGAAAAGTTGGCATCAGGCAAGGACTCTGTGCCTGTCCCTTCTTCGTGTGCTCCACAGGCTGCAGTCCCAAGTTGGCTTTGGGGACCAACCTAAAAAGCTGTGGTTGTGTTTCATGGCCGGAGGAGGTTCGAGAAGGCCATTGGTCTCGTGGGCAGAGACAAAGACACTGGGGCTCAGAGCCAGCAGACGACGTATCCCGTGGCCCACGGGTCGATCATTGGTGCCTGGGCGGTAATCGGGACTCTGGGGTCCCCATGCCACGTCTCTGGCCTGTACCACTCCTCTGAGCAGGTCCTGGGCACTGGCAAACCTAGTTGACACAGTTGTTTGGGGGACCACTGCTTGGTAAACTCAGAGCCAGGGCTTTGGGTTCTGTATCAAAAGCCAAAACCAGGCTCTGAACAAAAGCACTAAGGCAATCGGCTCATTTTTGGAAATAGCATTCGTTTGGTCACGTAATAAGCAGCGTTAGTGTGACAGAGACCCCATTAGACGGACAGGGCACCTTTGTGCAAACTAGTAAACAGCGCCCCCTCCTCCAGAAACTTAATTCTGTCTGTCCGAAATTCAGACTCTACTGGTTTCCTTAGAAAAAGTCTCTCTACTGACACCTGCTGGGAAATAGTTGAAAGAAAGTCTGTGCCTCTATCTGTGATATGCGTGGTTGGCACCTCCTTCCCGCTAACACGCACGCCAGCCGTGCGCAGCCTGCGCTACTGTACCCAGCACTCCCTCCCCATGAGCGTGGGCTGTGTTTTAAGACATGGTCTTCGCCTCCAAGGAGCAAACATCAGTGGCAGCTGCAACCTTCCCTCTGGAGACCACACCGAGGTCGTGTTGGCCACAGGGTTCTCCAGACCCCGCGGTGTTGGAGTGGGGCATAGCGTGGGTCAGGCGGCGTTAGGACTAATGCTGACGCCCATCCTTTGGGAAGAAAAGAGCTTGCTTCTGGGTGCCTGCAGGAGACGACAGCACCTTCACGTTTAGGCAACAAATGTGACACCCATGAAACATGAGTACACGTGTGAGTCAGTCCGGGCGCTCTAAATCCTTGCTAGGTTGTTTGTTCACTCTGCGTCAGATCTTCACGCTAGCATAGCTCTGAGAAAATGGCGACCTTTGTCCTTCTTAGAGTGGAACAAGGTGAGTCTGTTCTGGCAGGACAAGGCACAACGACTCTCTTTCTATCTAGAACCCCATCAGCTGCCTCTCTGCCACCCTTCCTGGGGCTGTTCATTCATTAAGTCAGACAGAACACGTGGAGTGCTGTGTCAGTTAACGCATGCTGCGTAACAAACCACCCCAAAGTCTAGGCGGGGGTGGGGAACCTTTTTTCTGCCAAGGGCCATTTGGATAGTATAACATCATTCTCGGGCTGCACAGAATTATCAATTTAAAAATTAGCCTGCTGCCCAGCCGGCATGGTTCAGTGGCTGAGTGTCAATCTATGAATCAGGAGATCAAGGTTCAATTCCTGGTCAGGGCACATGCCCGGGTTGAGAGCTCAATCCCTGGAGTGGGCAGGGGGCAGCCTATCAATGATTCTCTCTCATCATTGATGTTACTATCTCTCTCTCTCCCTCTCTCTTCATCTCTGAAATTAATAAAAAATATATATTTGGTTAAATTGGCCTGCTACATTTGGACTAACTCACCCCTAATGCCTTGGCAGGGCCAGACCAAATGATTTTTCGGGCCTTATACAGCCCATGGGCCAGACGTTCCCCACCCCTGGTAGTGGCTTAAAAGCAACAACCATCTATATAGCTCCCAAGTCTGTGAGTTGGACTGAGTTTAACAGGGTGGCCCTCCAGGCTCAGCTGGACTCACACACACCTCTGCAGGCAGTGGGGGTGGTTGGTGTAGGCCAGTGGTCGGCAAACTTATTAGTCAACAGAGCCAAATATCAACAGTACAACGATTGAAATTTCTTTGGAGAGCCAAATTTTTTAAACTTAAACTATATAGGTAGGTACATTGTTATTAACTTAATTAGGGTACTCCTAAGGCTTAGGAAGAGCCACACTCAAGGGGCCAAAAAGCCACATGTGGCTCGCGAGCCGTAGTTTGCCGACCATGGGTGTAGGCGGTCCCCAGCTTGGTGGATGCTCATCTTTCAGCAGACCAGTCCATACTCAATCTCATGGCCCGGCAGGACTCAGGGAAAGTGAGAAGACACGTGCAAGGCCACGTGAGGCCCAAGCGTGGACCTGGCAGAGCATCTCCTCTATCACATCCAGTTGTCAAAGCAAGTCACTGCAGATTCCAGGTGTGGGAAACAGACTCCACCTGCCTGATGGGAATTGCTGCAGAATCACATGGCACAGGGCAGGGATACAGGGCAGTGGAGGATGGTGGGCACCTCTGCAGAGTCTCACTGATGCCGAGTACAGATGAGATGCTGTGCTCTAGGGGGTGGAAAGCCAGCGTCCTGCCTTCAGGGAGTTCTAAGACAAAAGCAAAATGAGAAGGGAGCAGACCGTTGAAAGTCAGCTTGATTAGCGCCACGGGAGAGATAGGTTACTTGTCTGGAATTGAGGGTGAGTAACCCGGGATTACTGAACCATGACCCCATCGGCGGGCAGAGCTACATGCTAAAGAACCTTATTTCCATATTATATCCAGCCCTATTGGCATGATTATGTTCTCTTCAGCACAGAAGGGACACATGACATTTTTCCCCATCGACCATCTTTCTCTTTCAATAATGATCGCTCAAGCAGTAACTTCCCAGGCAGACATTTCCATTCAATCTTGGGTTGCTTTTTTGTGGGTGTGCTTCGAGGGCAATGGCGAGGACCTTTTCCTATTTATCCAGAACTTTCAGGCCAAGCCCCTTTTCCACATCCCTGCAGAGGGGAGACAGCCGTGGGGACTTGGGGAGAGAAAAGTGCATTTGTGGGGTTGTCAGAAAGTGGGGTTCCCACAGAGGTGGTCTGACGCTGCGTAGAAGAGACCTCAGGGCTGAAAACATGAGGAACTCCATGTCTGCTTGCAACACTGGCCACGAGGACTGGAGCTCACAACACACGACCCTTGCCAGTTGTAAGGAAGCTTCTACTCCGCCCCAGCCCTTCAAACAGCACCACTCCATTGACTCCGCTCAGAGTGAGAGCTCGGCACGGCCTTGGCCATGTGGGTGGAGACGTTTCCTGGGCAGCTCTCTTGATGGTTCTCTACTTCAGCTCGACCAGTGAGCCCCCTTGGCCGGTGTGGGTAGGAAGATGGTAGTGCAAGCGAGTTCCTGACCCCGTTGCCTTCCTTGCTCAGGGAGCTCACACCGTCAGGTGACTGTGGATGCTTGTCTCGTAGAGCAGCATGAAGACCACTGCGCAGACAACAGCGGGTTAGATGTGCCGGGAGAGCGGGTTTGCTTGGTGATCTGCGCAGGGCAGGTTCATCTGGGCATTCCCTCTGGCAGCAGGCGGTAGAGGTGGCGAGTCTTGAGCATTTTCAAATAGGACTACGGGACTGTAAGCTAACGGCAACATCGCATCACACACCTGCCGTGCAGCAGACCATGTGTGGGTCTCAATCCTCTATTCACGGGGATTGAACGGAGGATTTGAGGGAGGCCATTTACTTGGGAGGTGATCTCAGGGAACATGGATCAGAGCAGGGAAACAAGGCAGGGAAGAGAAGGAAGCCAATCAAGGAGGCGTTCAAGCTGCTTAGCACTGTGGGCACGTTCCACTGGGAAAGTGCGGGACGGGCACCTCACCCCAAAGAGAGAGGGAGCTGGAGTACCCCCAGTCCGGGCAGCCATGCCACCAGGCAGGTGCAAGGAGGGACATCTGACCTCAGGAACAGATGCCACTGATGCTGGTGAGCAAAGGACAAGAGATGCCGGGTCACCCTGGGCTGCAGAAAGTTGCTTAAATATTGGGCCGTAGAGTGCCTGTAATGACTGTCTAGGCAAAACAAAAATTCATCTCACCCCGTGTGAAGAGCCAGAAGACCCGAGAGGGGAAAGTCTTTTCAGAACCAGGGTAAAGGAAACTGCCGTCCGGTCAGGAACGGATGCCAGGCTCCTGGCTGTGGCACACGAACAGGTATGAGACAAAGACCTAGGGCTCGACTGCAGACCCAAAGACACTTCCCAAAGCCTATTATGGGAGAGCAGCAATTATTCAATTAGTCCACGGTGGCTAGTCTCTCTCAGGATATGAATAAGTTTATCAAAACCAAATAAGCTCAGGAAATGCCAAGCCCTGGGGTTTCTTCTATCCTTTCCTAAAGGTTTATTAGATCCTTCACTGCTGTGTACATTGCAGATCTCTTTAAGAAAGAAAGAATGCAGCGTTTCCCAAACTCATTTGACCATGAGACCCATGTTACTCCCAAACACCTTGGAATAACTCTCTGTAACTAGTGTTCCCTGGAATACAGTTTGGGAAACACTCCACCAGAAGCACTTTCCAAGGAGCAGTCATGAGATAGCCTGGGGAAGTCCATGCATTGTGAAAAGTGGCTCCGCATAAGGCTCTGTCTAAAGTAGTCGAATCAGAGATGTTTTCCCAGCCAGCCTTCCTGGCACTGAGTCCCAGTCATGCCACTCCTCGGCCAGGTCATGCCTCTCCTCAGCCAGGTTATGCCTCTCCTCGGCCTGGTCACGCCTCTCCTCAGCCAGAGGTCATGCCTCTCCTCGGCCAGGTCACGCCTCTCCTCGGCCAGGTCATGCCTCTCCTCGGCCAGGTCATGCCTCTTCTTGGCCAGGTCATGCCTCTCCTCGGCCAGGTCACGCCTCTCCTCGGCCAGGTCATGCCTCTCCTCGGCCAGGTCATGCCTCTTCTTGGCCAGGTCATGCCTCTCCTTGGCCTGGTCACGCCTCTCCTCGGCCTGGTCACGCCTCTCCTCGACCTGGTCATGCCTCTCCTCGGCCAGGTCATGCCACTCCTTGGCCAGGTCACGCCTCTCCTCAGCCCGGCCGCCTGACAGTCCAAATGGCTGATTCCCCAGCTTCTCTAACCCGGCTTCTCTTCTGTCTGCCTTTCAGATGGGCTTCTTTCGCCGAAGGTACAAAGAAATTATTGAAGCCGAGAAGAACCGGAAAGAGAACGAAGACAATTGGGACTGGGTCCAGAAAAACCAGTGACCTGCCCCGCCAGTCACATGACCCACTCATGTCACCTGTCGTCCTTGACCTTTGTATCTTCCATATTTGGAAGAAAGAATGTTCTCCAGATTTTTCGGAGGCCCCACTGATGCTGTTCTCGTCTTCATTCTATCCAGCCCAGGTGCCAACCTGAGGCCGCCACTTCGGCCAGGTCACGTGACTGGAGCCCACCACTTCCTTTTTAAAGATGAACTCTGAACTTTGGAACGCAAGCTACAGAGCCGAGCAATATTTATGGATGCAACGTGCATGGTCAACCCTCAGGGGAAAACTGTTACCTAAAAGTATTTTTATAAATATAAGCCTTTTATACTGATTATGTCTTTATATTTGTATCGATGTTTTATTATTTCTATTAAATAGTTATATAATTCACTCAAGCACTGATATCTGGCCTGGAAACACATGTACATTTGTACAAATTTTAAAGGATAAAAATCTTACTGTTCTTTGGAACTTGCTGTGACAACAGACTTGCCGATCAAATCATGGGAAGAAACCTCGTGTCCTGAATCCACCAAGCTTGCGGCTCTGCGTATAAACTGTGATTGTGGCCGGACCCCCAAGGCAACTTTCACGACTTTCTTGCCTGGAGTCAAGTTTGATGTTAATGGACTAAGGAACTATAAGTATTTTCTCATGCGTACCTTTCATTGGAAGAGTCCCAACAGGAATTTGGATGGAAAACCTGATTCCCAGCAGCAAGCCTGCTCTGCAGCCCCAGCAGGCATCTCACCCTCCTTCCACTGGATTAATAGGCGAATTGGAGCAACGCCAGCCGGTCATCTGGTAAACCTCAGAATGGCATCACATCCTGGATGTTGTACATCAGAGTCTGCGCACCACAAGGACTCGATCAGTGCCCCCCCCTCCCGCCCCCCAGAGACTTGTGTCGGATGCTGTGCTGTGTTGCCTTTGCGGGGTCCTTTGAGTTCAGAGGTCTCCAGTTCCCTGTCACTTTTGCTGATGAATTGCAGATTCCTTCCCAGAGATGACTGTTCAACCTGTTCTTATTGTTTAAAATAGTGTCTTGGGTGGGGTTCCAAAGAAGCAGGCCCCAAGACGAGGCTCTGCATGCAAGTAACTAATTAAGGAAGTGCTCCCTGGGGAACACCGGTATGGGGGTGAGGGAAGCAGGGCGAGGGAGGAAGCCAGGGGAAGGTTCCATGGAGGGTAGCGTCAGCCAGATCCTGCAGAGGAGCTCTGGAGGGTAGGTTGCATCTCAGGGTTGTCCCAACCTGAGGCAAGATGGCTGAGCCTTCACACACGTGCACCTAAGGAAGAGGTAAACCTTCCACTCCGGTTCCTACTGGCAAAATGGCTCCATAGCTCAGGGGTAGTCCATTAAATTAGAGCTGCAGGTGCACCCCCACCACCCCCGGGGAGGCATACAGAAACGGTGCAGCGGGATCTGGGCAGAGCCCCAGCCTCCTCCCCTCCTCCCTGCAGGGTTGGATGCTGAGTGATGGCCTTTAATATCCAAGCTTTCTGTTTGACAGCGTTTACTATTGGATGGGCTGGGCTGCCCAGTATTGAGTGCATTGTGGTTTTCTAAAAAGGGCACTGGGCCGGTGGCTGTATCGTGCTCAGCACCGTGCCCAGCGCCTTGGTGAACACTCAGTAACCGATAGTGGCGATGGCTGCTGCTACCACTGCTGAACAACCATCTGATGAGAGAGAAAACATGTGCTCAGAGCAGGGCCTGGCCGAGAGTCCTTCATGGCTCCTGCTCAAGCCCCAGTCCATACAGATGGGCATCCGAAGGGAATGAGACAAAAACAAGATGAAAGACCTTTCGTATAGGAGGACCTTGTCTACTGGCAGCTAACATGGTGGGGGGCTGTGGACCCCATTGGAAAGACACAACTTCAGGGGAGATAGGTTTTCTAGACAGTTGGCTAATACTTGCAAACATCGCGAAAGCTTTGGGTGCTGGGCAGCTACGAACCTGGCCTGGGACATGTGTGTGTCTTTTTGTTTCTTCCTACGCATTGACCCTAATGCAGGAAGACAATGACTGTATCATGGTGGCTAGGGGGACAGGCAGCAAAAGCCAGAGGGTCAAGAGTATGTAGGAAGGAGGCTGATCCAGAATGAGGTTGGGGATGTTGCATCTAAGGGCTGGAGGCACAAGAGGTAACTACAGGGCAGATGGAGGCGGGGAAACCAGTTCTGGCACAGAGTTTGCCTATGAGTTCTATCAAGAGTAATAAAAGCAGTCTTTAGTGGTTGTAGTCGCTCATTTAGAGGATATTTATGGGTCCCCTGCTTTGCGTCAAGCACTGTGCTAGGTTCTGGAAGCTCCCCAGAGAACACTACCACAGGCACATTTTGCCTTTGGGGAGGCACACCTCCTGCAATGGAGTGTAGAGAGTGGATTTTTGATTTTTTATTTTATGAAACCCCAGTCACAGCTTCCCTTTGATGGGCTTTTATTCGTTGTGTCATGTTGTCCTTTAACAAATGACTTAAAATTCTTGGGCGGTAGTCCTGGGCCGGCTCCCTCGGGGGCTGGCCAAATGCTCTCGTAGCCACTCCTGCAAGGGCTGCAGATACATCTGGTGACGGTGTGGAAGGCAGAGGGAGAAGCCTCATTCCCATCGGGGTGGGCTCCTGGGGGGCGGTGTCAGAAGAGGGTCCTTTTGCTTCTGGATGGCAGACCCGCCTGATTAGTCACGGCCCCAGGAGGTCACTGAAACTTCATGAGGCAGTTTTAAGAAAATCATACTCGGCATCAGCAGGAGCCAAGACCAGCAGCCACTGCAGGAACCCGTTTGGGAGGGACGGTGCCTCTGCTTGTCTGGTCGCGCTGAGGAGCAGGCGGGGCACAGCGATGGAGAAAGGAGTCCCCGCGCTCTCAGCTCCACCCCAGGTCAGGAGCCCTCGCTAGGCTCCTAGGGGAAGCAGACAGGGTGCGTCGTCGTGTCTGTGTTACTTCTCCAGAATATTCTCTTACAGTTCCACAGTGAACTCCAATTCCTACCCTTCCCGTTTCGTTGGGTTCACTGTGGAATCTGCTAAGACAGCAATTTTCAACAGGTGTCCCTCAAGAATGTTTAAAACATGAGACGGGCACTGGCCTCTTTTCTCTTAGATTGTCAAATCAAAAAATGACAACGGCCGCCACGGTAGCCTTCCAGGGTGAACGAATCCTAATTGTACCTTCTCTGTTGTTGGTAGCTCTGCAGAAAAGATAATATGGGTTTGGGTGTGCTGCAGAATTCTAGTAATTAGTTTATGTGTGCCACAAGATGAAAAAGGCTGAAAATCCCTGTTTTCACCAACTGTCAGAAGGATTGGGATAGTGGGGTGCTTTTTAAACATGCAAAACGGCCTTTGTAGAAAGAAACTGAATACAAGCATGCCCGCCCCCTTTCCACAAACAGTTTGCTTGTGATCCGTTTACCTGGGACTCAGGAGTCTCGGAACATCCCCAAAGTGAGCCCGGGACTGTCGCAAAGAGGAGGCGGCGAAATTCAGGAGCGGGGAGGCGCCAGAAGAAGTGAGTGGGCCCATTGGCCGCATGATGACTGACAGGCACACATCTGGAATCACTTAGCATGGAGGTCACCGAGGCTTTCCCAGACAGTTCTTCAGGAAAATTCCCCTGCCAGGGGTATTCTGAAATCTGGTAAACATTGTAGGCAATCCAATAGAAAGTCCTTCACCACATCATGGAGAGCCTACAGTCCTTGAGCCAAAGGCCACGAGGTTAAAACAGAAAACCTGCAGGCCTCCCGGACATGTGAGGGACCTGTTTTCCATTCGAAGCCTAGTGGATCCCTCAGGGGGAGGTGTGTCTTGTAAGCGACCTGTTCATGGCTGGCAGGAATGTTGTAAGAGGTGATTCTATTACTTCTGGGAAGGCATGATGCCCAGGTGAGTGCAGTTCCGGGGAGGCTAAGCATGAAACATACATGTGGTGAAATCTACATACATCTGACTCAAACTGCCCCAAAAGTACAGGCACTGGGAAAGCTTCTAATTTGGGGGCAGATGGCCCTTTCGCAGACAGAAAACGCGTGTCATTTTGGAAATGCCCCAGTCTACGGGGTTTTTGACAATGTTCTGTTCTGCGATACAGAGGGGTGATATACACAGTGGGGTGTATTTTCTGAAACAAAGAATGGCCGAAGGGAGTGTCTTCCGGTTTTGAGCCCCTTGCTGGGGGATAAGGAACGTGTTTCCCGCGTGGCGCGATGCTTTGTAGCACAGTGGTCTTGATTTCAGACTTTGTTTAAGGTTTGGGTTTGTTTTATTCTAATGTGCACGGTGTGACTGGCAGAGTGAGTTTCAAGGCTTTAAGAGTGATTAATTGCATGCAGGCACCCACGCTAACTTCACTTCTAGAACTTGACAGATACCTTCATGTGCATTTCCATCTAGGAGTTTTGGCGGGAGGGGCGTTCCGCCTCCCGAAGTCACGTGTATTTAAAGTCTATGCAGTCACTTCTAATTCACTTGCACTGTTTGGGAAATGCAGGTTTACAAAAGTACATGTTTGGAATAAAAGGAAAAATGGCTGCAAATGATTCAGGAGTTCGGTCTGCAATTTCTTTGCTACTGAAGAACTTGGACCTCTTCAGGATGTTGAAGATGGGGATATGAAGGTCCATCTCATTGCTCCTGAATAACCCACTTAATGTGGCTGAACTGTTCCTGACCTTTGGCCTCCATTCACCTTCTTTGTGCATCACCTACCTGCCCAGGGCCACACCTGAGACCTTGATCTTAAGGTAAATGGGCCCAAATTAAATAGAATACATTCCTCATTGTTAGTACACTGCTACCACATGATCCACCAGTCAGTCACTGAGCATTTTCCCAGAAGCCTTTTGGCCTTTACACATTGCAAACAGTGTGTTCTTTGTCTTTTTAAATATATTTCTATTGATTTCAGGGAGGAAAGAAGAGGAGAGAGACAGAAACATCAATGATGAGAGAGAATCATCATTGGCCGCCTCCTGCACACCCCCCTACCATCCCCGCCACCCCCACCCCACACACACACACACACACACACTGGGGATCAAGCCCACAAACCGGGGCATGTGCCCTGACCAGGAATTGAACTGTGACCTCCTGGCCCATAGGTCAACACTCAACCACTGAGTCACACCGGCCAGACCAAACATTGTGTTTTTTTTGTGTGTGTGTTTTTAAAATATATTTTATTGATTTTCTACAGAGAGGAAGGGAGAGGGACAGAGAGTTAGAAACATCAATGAGAGAGAAACATCGATCAGCTGCCTCCTGCACGCCTCCCACTGGGGATGTGCCCGCAACCAAGGTACATGCCCTTGACTGGAATCGAACCTGGGACTCTTCAGTCCACAGGCCGACGATGCTCTATCTACTGAGCCACACTGGCCAGAGCATTGTGTTCTTAATGATCCTATTAAAATTTGCTTTATTTGTGCTCTATCCACTGAGCAACACCGGCCAGGGCATTGTGTTCTTAATGATCCTATTAAAATTTCTTCTACTCCCCTATCGTTAAAATTCACACACATACACACCACACAGTATGGAGGGGGTATGAAAAGATACACACCAAGGAGTTTTAAATGATTGTCCTTAGTGGGTGGGATTGTCAGTGTTTTTGCTTTGCTTTTTTGTTTTGTGTTTACTAGCCTGAATTTTAGTCTCCTTTTATACCAATGAAACACACGCAAATCATTTTTTGAAATAAAGATACATCCGGGAGAGGATGAATGACTAAGCCAAAAAAGATTCCAAATTGTAGGTCTAGAAAGGAAGAGATTTGTTTGCAGCGAAGAGCATTGATGAGCCTGACACTTAGGACAATGGTCCAGCAAGTAATTTGAAGCATTTTAATTCCAGCTGCTTCCTGGCTTACCACAACCTGCTGCCATAGCTAGAGCTAAGGAAATGCGCTTCTCTAAGGCTGTCCAACCTGTCTCCCCTAAGCCAGAAAAGACCTGGACAAACCCAGGGGAACTGAAAGGTAGGGAATTAAGAGGAAGCAAAATCACGTTAGTAAAGTCTCCCTTCATTCCATCAGAAGTTTTTCAGTCCATCAGATCGCCTCGGGTCCTTAAAGTCTGTCTGCCCATCAGGTTACTGTGCTTAGTAATAAAATGAGTGTCCGTGCGTGCTCAGCTCTCTGTCTACGCCCTCAACCTGATTGGCAGCTGTCCCTCCGCAAAGCCATCTGTCCCAGAGATGGTGCTCATTCGTTCCATGCTCACGTCCAACTGGAGTGGGTATCACCAGGCCTCCCCAGCTCTGGGCTGAACCCAGAGGCTGGTGCCATCTGGGGCTGCTGCCCAACCTCTGCTTTGCCTCCAAGTCTAGTCGACATCATTTTAGACTTTATTTGATGTGATTCTTCTGGGATTGGAAAGAAAACCCTAAAAGAGAGCT